CTGTTCGTTTTTTGTTTTTGGATTCAAAGTTCATTAAGGTTGCCATGCCTGGTCAAAATACAACAGAACTCTTTTCGCATATTAATGAAAGTGCTCATTGACAAACCGTTGCAACAGATAATTCAATTCAGTTTATTTATATAGCGCCAAATCACAACAAAGTTGTCTCAGGGCACTTTACAGGAACATTCACATACATGAAAGCCAATTAGTAATTTCCACTGCAAGTCTTGGTTAATAATAATGATTTAAAAAATGCTTTTTTGTTAGACATTCATCACTTGTTTTTGTCAGCACAACTGTGAAAACTTGGCAAAGAAATATTTAGGCCTGTTTTGGTAAATTGTGCTTCCTGAGAAAGAGCAGTACAGACTGTCTTTATTTCCATTAGAGTGATTAGAAAAAATTGTTTTTCATTCAATTTCAGTCCAAATATGATTTTTGCGTTTAAACTTATCTCTACTTACGTTGTGCCATTTTTAAGCACTAATATATTAAAGTTTGGCTCAAATGTAAATTCCCCTTGGAAATACCTTGAGATGTGTTCTATCGTGTTTGAGCCATTTTTGTATTATTATGTATAAAATACACATAAAATGACTTATAAATGCAAATCAACATCTAAGGACAGCAGTTCATTTGTTCAGTGCTGACTGTTTTCTGTTGACCAGAACTCCCGGCTGGACCCTGAGGAGTATTTCACCAAGCAGGAGCGAATTGGGAAGGGATCGTTTGGAGAGGTCTACAAAGGCATCAACAACCGCACAAAGGAGGTGGTGGCAATTAAAATTATTGACCTGGAGGAAGCAGAGGACGAGATAGAAGACATCCAGCAGGAGATCACCGTATTGAGCCAGTGTGACAGTCCTTTTGTTACCAAGTATTATGGATCATACCTGAAGGTGAGATCATATGTGAGACCTGTATGTTGGCAGTTTGTGACCTGAGTCCACGTCCTTGGAGGCTGTCTACAGTCCAACCACTTTTTACTGATATTGTCAGTTGTGGTCAGAAGAACATGAAGATGCTTAGAGATGGAGCAGTCTAACATCCACCTATTATTACCCACCTGAAAAGGGTCTTGCTCTTCCGTCAACTTTAACGCGGCTCGAACCGCAGTGTGTCCCCCCACAAAAGTTATATCAAAACGACCAGCTTGGCATCATGACGTGTGCTATTACCTTCATTGGCGTTTCGAGTTACCATAACGACGTAATTTGCAAACAAAGACGCCATTTTTCTTATTGAAAAACACTGCGGGAATTAATGGCCTCCATCTGTCACTGTGAGGTCACACGACCTAGAGTGAAGAGGTCTCTGAACAAACCACTGATTAACTTTTGGAGCCATTTTGGATCAAGATGGCTGCCACAGCTACCTCAGAAAACACAAGATTGGCTAAAACTCAGGCATTCTTTGAGATATTGAGCGTAAATTTGGTATGGTCATAGCTGAGCGCGAACCCGAACACACAGTACTGTCAAATCAAAAATTTAAAATGACCGCAATGTGGCAGTCCCCATCAAAGTTTATCCAGGAACTTTCTAGTCTTCTTCCTGAGCTTCTCAAGCTTTGTTTTCTCTGCACCATGTTCAGTGTGGCGCTCGCAGCCACACCAAACTAACCTGTGGCTGCTTGTTCCCTTTAAACAGGCTGAATGTTTGAAGGAACACTTGAATCCACCTGTGGTACTAATCAAGATCAAACACTTCTTTTGAAACCTGACTATAATCTAAAGATTAATGGTCTCTGGAAAGGCACCAAGAAATTGGTTTGTTCAGAGTATCTTTGTAACAAATTTTCGCTATTATTTTTGTTTATCACATACTAAAGACATAGAGGTGTGCATTAGATAATTGCTTTTAACTGAATCCCTTTTCACAACAGGTGAAGCAATAATGAGCTGTAAGGGTGCCAGCAAATGATCTGTCTGTACATGGAATTATTAATACAGAATTTAAACTGGTTTCAATAAATGCTTTTTTTTCCCTTAGGGGACCAAGCTGTGGATTATTATGGAGTATTTAGGTGGAGGATCTGCTCTAGATCTGGTAAGATTTCAAATTTAAACTTTAAAAACTTTCCATCGAAACTTCAAACCTTTTATTTTTTTATACTTTTAAGTTTGCCATTATTTTATTCATTTATTTCCACATCTGTTATCATCTCAGCTTCGTCCAGGACCTCTCGAAGAGACGTACATTGCAACGATACTGAGGGAAATTCTGAAAGGGCTTGAGTATCTGCACTCTGAGAGGAAAATTCACAGAGATATCAAAGGTAACGAGCAGCGCACTTTAACAGAGTGAATGTTGCAGAGTGAGCGCTGGATGACACGCACTGAGACTTAACCAGATGCTTGGCTAAATAAACTCCCACATTTCAGTATGAAAACAAGCCGCATCTTTTTTTTTCTCACAGTTTTTAATCTTGCAGCATTCTGTAGGTGTTAAATATATATAAATATTTACGTGTTATCACACTCGGGTGTTATTTACGTCTGTGATAAGCAGACATTTAAGGACATAAATGAAAGTACTGTTTAAAAGTTATTTACTATGTGTGTGTGTGCATTATTCAAATAGTTTATTTTTATATTTTTGATGTACTTGGCAACATCCAGAATTTTTTTTTTTATTATTATATTTTTTAATTTACCCTTTATTTATCCAGGTAGTCTCATTGGGCCACAAGAACTCATTTTCAAGAGAGACCTGTTTCAGGGAGCAGATGGGGGTTAAGGGCCTTGCTCATGGGCTCAGAGTGAGGCGAATGAGGGTGGAGGCAAGTGTGGGTGCTTCACCTACCCCACCCACATTTTTTTTAGTGTTGTCGGTACCGCGGCTTGAACCGGCGATCTTGCGATCACAGGCCCACCTTCTCTAACCTCTGCGCCACCACTCCCCCCAGGAAAGAGCCATTTGGTATAGAGAGGTCCAATAATTCTGATGTGTTTGCATTTACGCTCAGATTTGTTCAGTAAAATCTTCAGATAAAAAGGTACCGTATGTTAGAGAAGAAACTGTCCAGATGACCTGACTGAAAAATGTTGGATTGTGTACCTGGATTACTGAGCACAGACTTTGTAGGTTAGTTTGAAACTTTAAATCTACTGATTGAGAAGAAGTTTCATAAAATCTGAGTGCTGAGCTCTGTCTTCAGGGCGCGTCACAGGCCTGCTTGATTCTTAATATTTATTCTTGACTTTCTCAATCTTTCTCTTTTGTTAGCAGCAGATTCACACTGTTTCCACCTAAACATCTTCTCTGAGATCCTCTGCTGGTGTGATTCCACCGTATTGGTTCACCTACACAGATTACAGATATGGTTCATAATAACATGCTTATGTTTGATTTGATACTTTGCATTAAGTAGTTTTGTAAAGCCAACAGACTATAGTTCACGTCTTAACAAGTTGTTTCCTGGTGTCTCAGCAGAATGTGTTTGACCTGCTTGTTGTCAAAACACAACAGACGAAACTCAACAGCTCATTTTTCAGCTGGGTCTTTCCATGTGCTAAAAGGAGCCAGTTTTAGGGAATGCAACTGGCTACTTGACCCCACCCCACCCTCTTCTTTTCCACAGGGTGGGACTCTTTAATATCAGTTCTTACAGGTGGACTGAGAGACGAGGATTATCGTGTAACAGCAACACTTCACATTTGTGGGGAGATATTTGACAGCAAGTGAACTGTATAGCATTCCTACAACTTTAGCTTGAAGTTCCCAATCTGCAGAGATTACAAATAAAAAAAGGTGTCCGGTTCATGGACTGTTAAGGCCCACTGATGCAAAAAAAGCTGCACTGCAAACAGTTTAAACCAAAGTGGTGATGTAATTTCAGAAACAAATGTATGCTCTCAATCAAAAAAAAAATCTGTTTTTTTAGTTCAAAATTCATAAGTTTTGGCATTTTAAAGCAGCACACATCGTTAGTAATAAGGAATGGACTCTTACATGACCATTTGTTCATCCCTGTACATATAATTCACTAATTGCTCATTTAATAGCATAAAAGGAAGAGATGAACCAAAACATTAAGCAAATGATGATTAGCCACTTTGAAAAATCTGCAGTTGGCCATGCTTTTTGCATCCTTGGTTACCGTAATCTATGTGATCATGTCACTGTCGACCATAGGAAAAAATCATAGTGTTGACTACAGGAAACGACTATTATGTTTTATTTTCTTCCTCATGAGGGAGTTTTTCCTTTCCACTGTCGCCTTCATGCTTGCTCAAGATGAGCGTTCTGTGATGCAGTTGGACTCAAAGCAGTCTGCTCCTCAGATCAAAACTGTTAAATAAATTATTTTGATATATGAATGTTTCTGTTAACTTAGCTGTGATCAGAGCAGTCGTCCTCCAATGCAAGAGTTGAGGGTTCAATTCCACCAGTAGTCACATTCTATAGTGTCCCTGGGCAAAACACTGAACCCCTCATTGCCTCTGATGTGTGTCCCATCAGTGTCTGAATGTGATAAAGCTCTGATTAATCTTTGTAGAGATCTAGTAGAGTGCTGTATGAATGGGTAAATGAGGACACAGATTGTGTTGTAAAGAGCTTTGAGTGTTTTGATAAGATAGAAAGGTGCTATACAAGTGCAGTCCATTTACCATTTATGGGTAGTTGACTTGGTGTTTTTGTCCATTTACCATTTATGGGTAGTTGACTTGGTGTTTTTGTTTGCTTGTTTCTTTCTCTTTTTAGCTGCCAATGTGCTCTTGTCAGAGCAGGGTGATGTAAAGCTTGCAGATTTTGGAGTGGCAGGACAGTTGACTGATACCCAAATCAAGAGAAATACATTTGTTGGCACGCCTTTCTGGATGGCTCCGGAGGTTATTAAGCAGTCGGCTTACGACTTCAAGGTAAGTCTGTTGACGGGAGATAAACTAATGAACAACTTTGAACCAACACTGTCTTTATTTATTGGTTTAACACTTTATTCACTCTCGTAAAACATTATGGTCATGAAGACACAATGGGTTGCAACAGTGCTGAACTCTCCACCTCAGACCTAAGTTGTGGAGAAGTACAGGTCAGGGTTGGGCTATTAAAATATTCCAAACTCTGAATATCTCATGGAGTTCTACTAAATGTATTATTAGAAAAAAAACAATTATTTCACCACAGCAGAAGTGCCAAGAGAGGGTTGTCCTCCAAAAGTCACAGAGCCGACAAGGAGAGCATTTATCACAGAAACATCCAGGAGGCCAAAGATAACTCTGATGGAGCTGAGCAGCTTTTCTGCAGAGATGGGAGGTTCTGTCCAGAGGATTACTGTAAGCTGCACAGAGCTGGGCTTCATGGAGGAGAGGACAGGAAAAAAACACTGCGTGAAGTAAAGAACAAGGCAGACAGTTTGAACTTAAACTAAAAATTTGTCAAATGTGAAAGACGGTGCTGTGGTTAGAATGAAATTGAAGATTTGATGTATAAAACCCCCCCCCACAATTTCTAGTAGAAACGTGCCACCTCTCATTATGCAGAAAACGCCATTCTAACAGCTAAGCATGGTGGTGGCAACATCATGCTGTTTTTTATTCATTTTATTCATTGCAGGGACTGAGAAACTGGTCCAAGTTAAAGCAAAGACAAAAAATTTAAAGAAATACAGAGAGGGTTAATACTTTTCCAACCCACTGTAAATAGTTTGCTTCTGTTGGAAACATTTAAAAAATAATTCAACATAATTATGTGTTCAACAAAATGGTACTTCTTCCAGCTCTCTAATTGTTAACAATGGTGTACCACAAGATTTATTCTTAGGACCCACCCACTTCACAATCTAAGTAAGTAATGTAGGTTAGACCATCCCTGATGCATCCTTACATTTCTATGCTGATGATACAGTCGTTTACTGTTGAGCTAAAATAGTTGTTAAGGTTTTCCAGCTTTTACAATCTGCATTCGACATCCAGTCAGATTTGTTCAGTTTCAAATTTGTACTAAATGCTGATAAAACCAAAGGGATGTTGTTTTCAAACAGGAAGTTGGTCCCAGCAGTCTTTCCTTCTATGAATGGTGTTCCTATTGAGTTTGTCGATTCTTACTACTACTCTTACCACAATACTTGGGTATTTTAGTTGATTCACTTTGCTCTTTTAAGCCTCATGTCAAAAACTTGGTGAAGAAATTGAAAGTTAAACTGGGTTTCTTTTTCATAAATAGATCTGGTCTAACTCTGAATGCTAAGAAACACCTTAAATCTGTGACTTTCCTTCCTGCCAGTGATTATATTGACATTATTTACATGAACGCTACAAGCTCCCTGCAGATGTTGGATGCTGTCTATCACGGTGCGCTAAGATTCATAACTGGCTGTGATTATCGTACCTACCACTGCACCCTGTATTCACTGGTTAACTGGACATCATTAACTTCACACAGACTCTCTCACTGGTACATTTTCATCTTTAAATCACTTCTTGGTCTGTTGCCTTCATACATCTCCTGCATGTCTCTGCATGAGTGCAGCTACAGCGTGCGCTCTCAGGACATTATTACCTGCAGTGTTCCCTCAGTGAGGACTGAACTTGGTAAAAGGGTCTTCTCCTACTCCACTCCTGTTTCCTGGAATGTCTTACAAAAAGATCTGAAGCTCTTGACCTTGACCTTCCTATGTGGCTTCAAACATCTGTTAAGTTCATGGGAAAAACCAACGCAGCCATGTTCCTGGTTTTAATATTTTACACCACTTTATAATGTAGCTGTTTTTATTTTATTTCTTCTATTTTCTTTTCGTTTTATATGCTTTTATATGATTGTCTTGTCTGTACATCATCTGTATTTTGTCTAAAACAGGTCTCTCTTGTAAAGACCTCGTGGCTCAATGAGACTAACCTGAATAAATAAAGGTTGAATGAATGAACTTCCTTTCATAAAGCTGCACCGTCTGTTTTAAAAAACAAACATATTAAACATTATTTTCTCTCCCATTCAGGCTGATATCTGGTCTCTGGGTATAACTGCTATTGAGCTAGCCAAAGGGGAACCACCCAACTCTGATCTGCACCCCATGAGAGTTCTGTTCCTCATCCCCAAAAACCCCCCTCCAACGTTGGAAGGTCCCTACAGCAAACCTTTTAAAGAGTTTGTGGAAGCCTGTTTAAATAAAGACCCACGTTTTGTGAGTACAACCCAGAAGAAAACGCTGCATCAGTCATGAGCTTATGTGTCAAGTTAAATCAGAAAATGGCAGCAGACTGGAGCTGCCGATTTGTGTGAAGACAAAATAAAACACGAGCCAAATGTTCTCAGATGCTCCTTAGCAGGAACTATTTGTTCTGTATTTTGTCAAATGATCCCAGGCTTGTTCATCTCGCTGTAAAAATGGTTAAGTAACTCCAGTGATGTTCTCGATTAGCACCAGCAGCCTTTGGTTTGTGCTCTTGTTCATGAATGTTTTTATTTTTGCAGAGGCCAACTGCCAAAGAGCTCCTGAAGCACAAGTTCATCACACGCTACACCAAGAAGACGGCCTACCTGACGGAGCTGATCGACCGTTACCGCCGCTGGAAATCTGAGGGGCACGGGGAGGAATCCAGCTCGGATGATTCAGATATGTTCGTCCCAACAACTTGTTTATTCCTGCTAGATTTATGAATTTAAACAACTGATTGGATTTATATGTGCACACTGAGCAAGCAATGCTTTGAAAGGATTGTTCAGTTTTATTAAATACAATTCTTTCTTAAATTATCTGATAAATCCTTCATTTAGATTATTATTTTTTTACCTCAGACATTTGCAAAATCTACATGATGCTATTATAAATGATTCTTTAAATAAATGGGAGGTCATCTCCATTTGTTTCTTCTTTTCTAACGATTTCCTCCTCTTGTCCATCCTTTCAGAGATGTTGATAATGACGTAGATCAATGTCCCATATGGACCTTCCCCACAGTCAAACCCTCCACTTTGAGCCAGCTGCAGCAGACCTACACCCCCACAGATTCAGAGGTAAGACTCATGCAACCAGAGTTCCTATGTATTGTTGAAAAGTATGGATGTGGTTTTTGGTATCATCCAGGTCTGGATACATTTGCAAAAAATGGTCTAGAAAACCATTTTGAGCTTCTAACAGGCAGAGCCATTTCCACACTGAGATACAGTCATGGATGAAGAACAACACTTTTTCAGTTCAAGTGTGTTATGATTGAGGACAAAACAAAAACGACCTGGTCTTTATCGTATACTACAAATGTGGTAGACTGTACTTGTATAGCGCCTTTCTATCTGATCAAGATACTCAAAGCACTTTACACTACAATCTGTGCCTCATTTACCCATTCATACAACACTACTAGATCTATACAAAGATAATTGAACAAATCATTCTAAAGAGACTAATCAGTGCTTCATCACCTTCATACACCGATGGGACACACATCGGAGACAACGAGGGGTTCAGTGTCTTGCCCAGAGACACTTCAGCGTGTGACTGCTGGTGGATTCGAACCCCCAACTCTCGCATTGGAGGACGACTGCTCTAACCACTCAACCACAGCCGCCCCTCATCTTAGCTCAAGTACACAATAGACTCCACCATGTCAATATATATTCAGATCTTTCTTCTAAATGAGTCCCAATGGGACTAACCTGTTTAAATAAAGGTTGAGTGAAAAAAAAAAGAAAATAAAAACAAAAGTTTAGTGTCAGAAAAACTAAGTTCACCATTACTGATGTAGCAGGTTTGAACAGGAAAAGTAACCTAGTCATTGTCAGAGGGACCACCTTTATAAACAGAAGTTTTTTTGTCACTTTGCTGCTCTGTAGCCTTCAGGGATTAACACAATGCCAAGAAGGAAAGACAACAGCAACGACCTTAGAGAAGCAGCTGTTGCTGCCCATCCATCAGCGAAGGGTCAAAGTTCATTTCCAAACTATTCGGAGTCCATTGTTGAACCAAGAAAAATATTAGTCAATTCAACCTTTATTTATACAGGTTAGTTTCACTGAGCATCGAGGACTCATTTACAAGAGACCTGATTTAAACAAAAAACAAAGATGAGGTGCACACAACAATAAATAGCCATAAAATGTGTATAAAATAAAAAGTAAATAAAAATAGTGATATAAAAACAAAATAAAATGAAGCTACATTATGAACCGAGGTAAAATACTAAAAACAGGAACATGTCTGTATTGATTTTAGTCACGAGTGGAAAACCTTTAGGACAGCCGCCAGGCTTCTTACGAGTGGCTGTCCCAACAAATTCACCCCAACGGTCAGACTGTGCAATGCTCAGGGAAATTACAATAGTTCTAGAGACACTGCAGGCCTTGGAGGGTGGACTTGGTTTTCAGACAGTTTTTTCAGTCTTATGTTGAACTTTGTAGCCATTAGTATCACCAGTATTACTGAAAACTCAGATATATGTACACTCATACAGCCTTATGAGTACAGCTGTCCTGTGTGTTGGATTGTGTTTATAGTTCTGTCCAGAGACTCATCTTCATCAATCTTCTGCTGCATTAACATGCACATTTCCACACACTGTAAAGCACGTTGTGATCCTAGTTATGGTTCCAAACGTGTTATGAAAACATTATTTAACATATGTTGCATGCAATGTCTACAACATGCCAACCCAAAATATTATGCAGCGTTTTCTATTTTACTTTAAATGGGATCATGTAAGGTTTTACAAATTAGGCCTCAAGAGTTAAAAAAAAAAAGACCTTAACCTAAAGCAAGCACAAATGACTCAAATTTACTGACAAAAGAAATAATTTATTTTGTATTGTCATTCAGATGTGTTGTCTCTTGTTATCCATCTTTTGTTTGTTCTATTTTTCATGGTGTTTTTAAAGTACAAGCACTTATTGTAAAGTTACACTAAATGTTTTATTCAGAAGTAAATAAAACTATAATTTGAATTTGATAATGTGTTATCCCTGTGTGGCAGAACAGATGGATGACCTGGTTTTATTTCTTCTTGTAGTCAGGAGATTGTATGAAACGACAGCCGAAGTCTCAGTGCTTGTCTGCGTTGATAACACCCATCTTCAGAGAGGTAAGACGAGCGCTTTCTCCTGACTGGACTCACAATAAATATAAAACTAGAAAATAATACTGCATAGGCTGTTCTAAAACAATGACTGTAATGTGTATGTGCTGTGGCTGACCCAAACTTAAATCCTTATCGTTTGAATTAACCTCAGAGCTATGACTCGCTTCATTTTCTGTCATTGAGGCTTCAAATGTTAAAACGCTTAGCTGTCCAGTTTGTGCCTGTGAAAGAAGACAGACGATAAGGTTTTAGTCTGTGTGTTTGTTTGTCTTGCACCAAAATATCTCATTAACCTCCGGATGAACTTTAATAACCAGTTATGAACAAGTTATTAATCTAATTCAATCAACTGTAACTGAAATGAACAGATTTTGATGTGTATCTTTGTGTGGTAGTAGCTGAGATCGATCCCCAACACACACTCTGAACACTAATGGATTCCACAAGAACGTTGCTTGAACTTGGCTGTTAGCTATTTGGAGTCACCTCTTGTCTGTTAGCAAAATATCTCAAGCACTGGACAAATTTTTATTGAAAGTGCCAGGAAATAATCAGCGGATGATCCATAACGGATAACTTTTAGAGCCAACCCAAGTCAAAATGGATGCCACAACCAGCTGTGCGTACAGACACTGAGCTACAGTTTGGTGTAACAACACATTCTCCAAATGCTGCTCAGTGAGTGACTTCAAACTTTAGCTGGAGCCGTTTCAGCAAATCGGTTGCTAAAAGCTAAAAATTGGTAAAACTAGCTAAAACGAGATAAAAGCTACAACCAGCATAACGGTACCAAAAAATGTAATTTAGCTAAAAGCTAAAATGGCAGCTTTTCAAGAATTTTGATGTTCACCTTTCACTTGAAGAATAAACGGTAAATAAAGTTAAACATTTCTAAAAGTGTAAAAGTTATGAAAACATAAAGTCCCAGCTGCTGAAAGAGCTGAACGTTTTTGTACCGGAGTGGTTAAAGTGGCTGAAAGGATGCTGAAGTAGTTCAAATCTACAGGAGGTGGTTTTCAAGCAGTTTTAATGTGCTGCGAGCGTGTCCCTCTGAGGAGGACATCTGTCCTAAAGATGCTTCAGTGAACGTCAAACAGGACGTTCTCCTTCTGGAGGAGGTGGGAACACGCCTCCTGTTCACACGCCTCCTGCTCACACGCCTCCTGCTCACACACCTCCTGTTCACACACCTCCTTATTCATTTACAAAAACTGGTTGGTTGCTGCGTTTGTGTTGATTTCTTTACCTGGACGATCAGAATGAGAGATGTGTGTGTTTAGTACAGGTTGCCATGGCGATACAGCCAGGTAAGAGGTGACCCAGCTTGGCACCTATAACCCCCCCAGTTGAACCTTTAGTTGCCTCTGAAAGCCTCTAATCCAGCTTCATAATCCAGCCCTCTGCTCTGGGTTGCAGAGATGATGTAATGTGTGTATGTGTAAGGTTGACAGACAAGTTTGCATTTGCTACTATTGATTAGCTGTGGCAGCCATCTTTAACTGGATTGACCTGAAAGTTAATAGATGCCAACCCAATGAATAATTTTAAAAAGTTTCACTAAAATCCACCCAGTGGTTCATGAGATATTTTGCTAACAGACATAGACAAAGTATATAAACAACAACAAAAAAATTATATATAAATGTATTTTTTATATCTATTATTTTTATCGTTTATATCTTGTGTGATTCATTGTGTATGTTCCTTTGTATTGAAACTCTGGCACATCAGTTTCCTGCAGGATCAATAAAGTTTTATCTTATCTTAAACAGAAATGGCGTATTTAAAAAAAGTAATCTTGTTTTTTTTCCTCCACCGCCAGTTGAAGGACAAGCGGCAGGCTAACGGTGGAGGAGTTGGAGCCATTGAGGAGCTGGAGAACGCCTTCAGCCTGGCGGAGGAGTCCTGTCCGGGCATCTCTGATCGTCTCGTCACACACATGATGGAGAGAGTGTGCAGGTGAGGCAGCAGCCGCTCAGCTGACGCCTTAGCAGAGACGACACTCGGTCCTAACCTGCGACCTGCCCTCCTTCTCTTCAGGTTTACTTTAAACGGTAACACCACTCCATCTTCACGGTGAACCCCCCCCGACTGGACGTAATGTGACTGACCGCCCCGTCCCTCCCGGTTTTCTCTTGGATAAGGACCACCAACTAAACCCACACCCAAACTCCTACACCACTGCCATCTATCCCCTCCCGTCCCCCTCCCCCCCAGAGATCTTTGAATTAGTTCTGATTAAATATTTTTACAGTTTTTCTTTAAATCGGAGAGTATTTAAGACAAAATGCCATGACGTTTAGAGCATTGTGTATACCTGTTAGTGAGAAAAAACTGCTATAATAAAGTCTATGAAAACAAATGATCAGCTTGTCTGCAGGATTATCACCACACCCACAGTGAGCGACTCCTCATATTGTAAAAAAGTGCTTTGTTGATTGAATATTTACAGTAGGCTGTAAAACTATTCCCTTGTTTTATTGCCTGGAATGCATATGGATTTTTATTTTTTAATAGTATCAAACGTAAAAAAAACAACAACTATTATATAAAACTAAGTAGTGCAAGCATTCACGTCTTCCATTAAAGGTTCAACCATTCTCTTCAGAAGTCACATTTAGTTAAATAAGCTCTACGTGTGAGGAATTTACGTGTCAAATGATCTCAGAATGTAACACCAGCTTTTTATTAGGTCCACCTGTTCAGGTGACTTAACGCAAATGGCTAATCACATGCAGCAACTCGGTGTTTGTGATGTAAACTTATGTTCAAAATGGGAAAGAATATGGAGCCAAATTCACAAACTCATGCAACAAGATGTGTATGCGTACAAGATTTTCAATAGCCCAGTAAATCTGGTAATGCTCCGATATCTGAGCTTTTCTCTAGCCTTGAATGCAGCATTAGTTTTGTAATGCTCCGATATCCCAGCTTTTCACCAGCCTTGAACGCATCGTCTCATTTGTGAATCTGGTGCAGTAAGAACGTCTCAAATCTTTGTAAGCACAGGCAAGCTGATCCGTGCACAGCTGGTGATTCGTGCACGTACATTTTCCGATTTGTAATCGTACTTATGCCATACACATTTGTGAATTATGTTGTACACATACAAATGTTCTATGAGTTTGTGCATCTTTTTGAGACCATATGACTTTCATAAGAGATTTACGTGACTTTAGTGTGGTTTATGGTGTCGGACAGCCTGGTCTGACCATGTCAGAAACTGCTGGGTATTTTATACACATCTGTAGGGTTTAATGAGAACGGTTCAAAAATAAAATATCCAGTGAGCGGAAGTTGGGTGGAAAAAAAAAAAGCTTTTAAGATCAGTGAGCAGATGACTGACCTGCAGTCAGCATGCTAATCGCTGCTCCCTCAAAACTTGTGACATCTGTGGCATTGTTCTGTGATAAAACTGATCATTTTAGAGTGGCCTTTTATTGTGGGCAGCCTAACTGTGCAACAATCATGCTGTAATCAGGATCTTGATACACCACCTGCGAGGTGGATGGATCATCTCGGCAAAGAAGTGTTCACTAACGCACACATTTGTGAACATTTGAGAGTCAAAGGCCTTTTGTGCATGTAGAAAGTCTGAGACCTTTCAGTTCAGCTCATGGAGAAAAGGAGCAAACACAAACATGTTTATACTTTTGTTCAGTGTATTAAAAACCAAAAAGCCACTGGGACACCGCGGGGATGTTTTGCAGGTAGGCCTGTCACGATAATAAATTTTGCTGGGTGATTGTCTCAAATTATTGAGAAACTATATTGAAATTGGACAATAATAATAGTCAAATTTAAGAAAATTTTTTTAATTTGTTTTGAGTGTAGTACCTTTTTTGACCAACCAGATGGCAGTATAAACTGAACTGAAGGATGGATAGTGAGGGAGTGAGTGGCATGTCTAAGAAAAATGGGAGGGAGGCCCCTTGACATGACATGGGCTGTCTCTCTCTTCGGTTTCAAAATGGCAGACACTCAGTGTGGTTTGAGCTCTTTAGCATAGAATTTTTCACACATTTTTAATAAAAAAAAATCAGTAAACAATTTCTCAGCTTCTTTTTGCAGAGGAAAAACAACTTTTTACATGAAGGCACGGGTTTCAACTGTGAATTTTGGAGCTTCGACAAGACAGAGGTTTTTTCTCGAGGTCAGCCTGTTAGCTTAGCTCATAGCTTAGCTTTTCAGCTTAGCTGCTTTTAACGATCCAAAAATGTAATTTTGTACGGTTAAAACAGATTTTAAAGAGAAAGCGAGGGGTCAGTGAAGAGCACCGGAGTTGAGCTTTTAGTCATCCAGTGTCTTCAGTAGAAAGAGAGATGAAGAAATGATCAATGAAAATGAGGTCGATAATTTTCATTTATCGTGTGATTGATTTGTTTATTGCGACAGACCTATTTGCAGGTAAGAAAAAAAACATGTTAATTGTCCTAACAAAAAAATAAAAAATAAAAATTGTCCTAACAAGATTGGATTTATGATCTTAGCAGCAAGCAGCAAAAACACTTGCATCTGATGGTTTATACAGACAGTTTGGCCCCTAGTTTGTTTGTTTTTTGTGCTTTACAATAAATATATTCTGCATCTTCAAATCATGTGTACCGGTAATTCAAAAGAGAAAACAAACCTTAAGTTAGCCAAGCGGCACAGAAGGAATAGCAGCAGGTCAAAACGCTGTTGTCATCTGAGGTAACAGAGTGGTTTCAAAAAGGCTCAACACACAGATGAGCTTTTTAAAAGTTTAATAAACCTTTTTATTCAATATAGGCATTAAGAACAATATTTGGTACTTCATTGTTGAGTAAAAACAGGACAAAGAGGAATGTCAAAGAACTCGCATTTTGGCTGGTGTGGGGAACGCCGAGTACACTGACCTGATCGGGTCATTCTCTGCAACCGTGGAAAACAAAATACTGCAGGTGCATTAATCGAACCCAGAACTCATTCATTCTGTATTATATGAGAGGGGGCTACATGAAGGAAATACACCAATTTAGTTGAAAGCACCAATCAGGCATCACGCCTCAATACTCAGTCCTGCAGGCGCACAGGAAGCCCATATAAGGTAAGGGGTCACAGTTTAAGAGCTTATGCAGGGTGGAAGGCAGTTTAAGGTGGTGCCACTGATATAAGGACAGGTCCTTTGAACCTGATGGGGTCGACAGCTGCATGCACATGAGTAGAATACACAAACACAGATGATACAACTTATGTCATGTTCCTTTTTTAGGATCAACTAATCTGAGTCAATGGAACAGTTGAATAATTACAGGGACTTTAGGCAGTTCAGCTACAAGTTTCACCATAACTGGCTCTCCCAATGAAGTTTTTCACAGATCAGAACAAAATGTTTCAAAACCACAGTTACTGAACAAAAGCAGCCAGACTTCAGTTTTCTGGTTATGGAAACCAAGTCAAGAAAAGTAACAGCCTCCCAGGATTCAAGGTTCTACCATATTAGTAAATGGATCACATGACTTCATTTGTTCTTTAAAAGGTTACACGGGAAAAAAAAAATAGAACCGTTATCTGTAATTATATAAACATAACACTGATTATACTCAACTGAATGTATAAAAATGACTTCAAAGTGAAACTAAAATAAAGAATAGAAAACAGTAAATGTCACTTGTCGAGCCTTTTGGGTTCTCTGGTCAAACTTGATCGGTGGCTGAAACACCTGAAGGGAGAAACACAAAGTTAAGGTTGCACAGTAAAGTAACCTTAGCTAACCACAGTAAACCGTATTTTTTGCTGTATAAGTTGTGGTTTTTTGCATAATTTGCATGCCCTGCGACTTGCACGCTGAAGCAACGTATTTATGGATTTTTCCCATATTTATAAACCAATTTTTGACTGAGATATGACCGTTTTCATTCATTTTGACTGAAAATATTGAACACTACCATTCTCAACCTCTAGATGGCACTTGAGTAGTATGGCATACCGTTGTATCATGTAATAGGTAAAGGTGGCCATTAATGACGCAATCGGCTTGCCATAGCCTGCCAGAGTCGTCTGCCTGGAGCCACCGTCAAATCAGCTTCATTGCCCGACGAAATGCAGCTAATATGACCGTCAAAGCTCATTTATTAAATAAAAGTTCAACTGAGACACACCTTTACAATAAAGTCGAGCAAACAAATTGTTTTCAGGTGGTTATCTTGTTAAATTTCGAAGAAATGGACAGCAAGTCGCCCTCTGCGCATTCATGTTTCCGCGTATCGGCTTTTGAAATGCAGCTGATTTGACCATCAAAGTGCATTTATTATGGAAAAGTTAGATTGAGACTAGGGCTTCAACAAAGTACGCAAGTAATCTACACATCGATTCATAGGACATCTCTCGAGTTTTTAAATTTCACGTCGAGTATTCGTGGTGACGTCATTGCGTCGCCGTTACATCATTGCGACACGTGTCACGTGATCCACACCGAGCGCAGGTTACAAAATGGATTCCTCCAAGCAGTCGGATGGAGTGGAGCAGGCCCAGTCTTGGCAACAGACAGAAATGCATCAATAGTCTGGAAATATTTCACTAAAGATGAATCTTTCGGTTCAACTACCATAAGGAAACTGAAAATGAATCAACTTCCTGACTGTTGGGAGCGTGTTGCGAACCGGTGTTACACCATATTCTGTGACCACCGTATATTGTGACCGTAGGGGGCGGTGTTGCATGCACTGTTGCAGGTCACAGAATATGGTGTGACACCGGGTCCAATGACCGAACCAGAACCAGCTTCCTCTGACCTTGTTTCACAAACAAAAAGCAAAAAAATTAATTTCTAAACCTATTAAAAACCTATAAACACATTAATCTCTAAAACTAAACCTAATGCGCACCACAGCTGGCGGTGATGCAGGGTGACCCACTGTTTTTAGTTTCGTTTTTGACGTGCTGCACATTCCTTTCACTTTTGCAGCTTAATAATAATAATAATAATAATAATAA